TTTGTGACCTCTGTAGTGTGCTGGGTTTGTGACCTCCGTAGTGTGCTGCGTTGGTTTGTTGGTTTATATGCAGAAACAGTCTGGCTGGCTCCTCCCTTCTTCCGTCCTCACTCTTGCTTCTTCAGAGGGTGTGGCCAGGCTTCCCAATCCATCTGCCTACTTTACTGTGCTGTTGATGGCCACAGGGTGGGGATTTGGACTAAATTAGTAGGAGGTGAGAGATTCTGTCCAGAGAGAGAGAGAGAGGAGAGAGAGAGAGAGAGAGAGAGAGAGAGAGAGAGAGAGAGAGAACTTCGTGACCTTGGGTTAGGCATTAGTTTCGAAGAAATGCCATCAAAAGTTCAAGAAACAAAAGAAAATAAATCAGGCTTTATCAAAATTAAAAACATCTGTGCTTCATAGGGCATCATTAATACGAGAAATAGGTAACTTACATAAGAGAAGGGATACTGCAAACCGTATGCCTGATAAGGAACTTGCATCGATAATATAAAGAACTTTTAGTGCTCAGTAATAAAAGTCCTGATAGCCAGTTGAAACATTGGCAAAAGATTTGAATAGACATTTCCTCAAGAGAGGCCAATCACGGCATAACATGCTCAACATTATAGTCATGGGGAAATGAAAACCAAAACCACAATAAGATACTACTTCACACCCACGAGGATGGCTAAAAGTAAAAAACAAAATACCAGAGGCTGATACGATATGCTGATGGGATGAGAAGAAATTGAAACCTCTACGTATTGGTATCAAAAAGTGCCATTTTTTTTTTTTTTTTAAAAATCATCTTATCAGTTCTTGAGTGGTAAATAGTTAACGTGTGACTCAGAGCTTCCACCCCCAGGGATATGCCCAAGAGAACCTAAAAGCATGCAGTCCTCAAAAATGTACTTATCAATGCATAGAACAGCATGATTTATCATGGCTAAAAGGCAGATGTGACTCAAGTGCCCAGCAACTAGTCAGTGGTAAAAATAAAATAAAAAGCAGTGTGTGTGAGCAAAAGAATCCCCGGTCTACATGATAACGAGGGTGAACCTTGGAGGCCTGATGTTGGATAAAAGTCACGGAAAGCCACGTCTTGTCTTGCTTCCTCCGTTTGTATGAAAGCATCCAGAAGAAACCAGGGACTGAAGTGTGGACAGAGTATAGATCGGCTATGGGCATGTGGCTCCTGAAGGGGCTGATGGGACACCCTGACGTCAGGTAGTGAGTGGTCACAGCTATGTAGCTCTGTGGCCATGCTGAAGCCCCCCAAATTGAACATTAGAAATGTGAAGTTTGTGATATGTGAGTTATATTTCAATAAAAAAGTAATTAAGGGAGTGAGGCCAGAGAAGACTCAAGAGGGCCACCAAGATTTGGAATCTAAGCCGAAATGTGAGACTGGGAGCATGGCAAACGAGGGGCGTTAAGACCAGGAGCGAGGCTTTGGATGTGTTGGGCAGGGTCAGCCTGAGCTTCGGGGGTGTGGCGGGGCTGGTGGTACAAAATCAGGCGTTATTAGCGTTGAGATAGAATCTTCAACTCCGGGCTGGGAAAGATGACAGAAAAAGTTAAGAGTGAGCAGGGGAGGGGAAAAGTCCACCAAAGACTGCGTGCCGGGCCTGTGATGTGCTAAGACTTCTCTGGGTGGGTCCAAGATGGCTCCCGGGCAGTGAGCATGGTCCGCCCTGCAGTGAGCATGGTCCACCCTGCGGTGAGGTTGAAAGCAGTTCTATTTCTATACAACCAGGTGTGGAGAGTGCAGCCAGCGCGGTAGCTGGGGCCCAAACGCAAGCCATTCAATCCTCTGAGCAAACTTGAATGAAATGATGAGATTTAGGAACTCCACTGTTTGATTTACTTTGAAAATCGAATTCATCTAAAGGCTTCATCCAAAGTCACCGTGTGGAGGACTCCGAGTTTTTAATGAGTTTCTCCCCCCCCCCCTTTGAATCTTGCGGCTCTCAGATAATCATAATTTTGTATGTGGGGACATGACTTCCACCCTATTTTCTTCTCCCATCGCCTCTCCATGTTCTTCCAATCTCAACTCGTGATTACAAGATTAGCATCTCGCCCGCGATGAGTCAGGCATATTGAATAGCTTCCCAATGTGTGTTTAAAAATATATTGAAATCCCATCTTGGAAATATGGTGTGTAAGTTATTTCAGACGGCGCTATGCCTATCGGATAACAGCTAATCAAGTAGGAGACAAACCGCTCGATGCCTAGCAGGCCTGAGCAGAGAGTCTTCAGTCTTTGAATTATTTTTCAGCCCAAATATTTTACTCCTCCAAATCATGGAGACATACAAACATTTCAGGAGGCTGCTGTCTTCTGGCATTCTCTAACGGGGAATACAGTGACAGATCTAGATTGCCTTTTTCACTTGGTAGTCTATAAATGTGACGCTACAAGCCACAGACAGGGCTGTCTTTTATCAACTGGCATTAGAATTTGGGGAAAGTTATTTTTTTCTAAGGAAGGCAGCGTGGCGTGCTAGCTAGCATAACATGGGAACCTCTCTTAAGCACATGCCGGGTTTTCTCTAGGCTAAGACAATAGGTTTATTTCTATCCATGTCAACCCAGCACCTCTGTGAGTGTGTGCTCCCATCCAAGGGCTGGTGCCTCTCCAGTCAGAGGCCCCACCCTCTTCATCCAAGGCCAAGAGGCAGGCAAAGAGGACGCTGCTGCCCCCTTCCAACCCAGCCACCTCTTCTTACAGTCTGTGCCAAGTTCACGGCTATGATGGGTGAATGGGAAGGGGTGCATACCTTAATTGGTGGCCCTCTTCCCAGCAACAATCCCTGCAAATGGATGAGAAGATGTGGATTCAGGAGAGGGTGACAGAAAGCTTTGGAGACACGCAATCCTGAGTTTAAACTCAGAAGCCACACAAGCCAGATGACCTGGGTGAATCACTCAATCCTAAATGGAGTTAATTCTGGAGTGTTTTACTCCTTCCCGATATGGGAGAAAGACCCACCTTGCAGAGTAAGTGACCTTGTTAGAGGCGGTGGATACACCGGGCTCACTGCATGGTGGTGTTGCTAGGTGAGGCTGATTTCAGCCCAAGAGACGTGGGTGAAATTCAGTAGGGTGAGTGCCACAGAAGCCTTGTTGGCCACAGAAAGACAGTCACTGGGTGAACTGGTGAGCAGCTGGCTTCAAAAGTGGGCCTCGGGCCAAGCCTCTCACTTCTGCTTCTCAGTAGATGTTGACCTCTCCTGAGCCCCTGCTGTGGAAAGCTGTTCTCCTTCACGTCCCCTGTGTGTGTGTGTGTGACAGGGAATTTGATGCCAATTTGATGACTCAGTCTGAACTTCTATGTAACAAGTGTCTCTTTTCCTTCACGGGTCTCAGGCACCAACTCATCCTGCCTGAGATGAATTCCCAGATTCCAGAATTTCCTGTGTTCCTCTCGGGAACCTTATGTATTAGTCCATTTCCTGGTGCTGTAACAAAATACCTGAGACAAATCAATTTACAAAGGAGCCCAGGTTCATTTGGGTCACGGTTCTAAGGCTAGGAAATCCAAGAGGGTGACCCTGGTATCTAACTGGGGTCTTCTTGCTGTGTCACTACAGTGAGGGGCATTGCATGGTCAGGCAGGGCAAATGTGCTCGCTTAGGTCTCTCTTCTTCTTGGCTTTTCAATACATTTTTAGGTGCCCACCCGGGAGCCCATGGTCTCACACATTCCAGGCGGGCACCACCAAGCTACCCCTACCTCTCTCTTTCTCTCCTTATGGACCCACTAACTCCACCATGGGAGCCCTATCCTCATGACCTCACCAAACCCCAATTGCCTGCCTTTAGATATCATTGACATATAAACTTAGGGGCTGAGCTTGCAACAGAGACTTTCAGAAGCACGTTCAAATCATGGCACCTCACAGCAGGAAGTGAGAAGAAATCGGGGAGAAAAAGTTCTTCCCACAACAGGGGAGCTGATAATGACTGTGCGGGTCAACCTTCCATCCAGCAAAATGAGCGTGCGCCGACGGATTGGCCGCAGAGAGAGGGGAGGGGCTGACCCTCAAGCAAGCCACTCTTGGGGCTGCCCTTTCCACAGGGAGTCAACACTGGGGCCCCATGCTGGCTTCACAGGAAGCACAGCACCACAGGCATCCAGGGACCGGCTGCATCCAGGAAGGGCCCGTTTGCTAACAGCTCAGACTGTGGAACACATGGAAAGTAAGCCGAGTGTAAATTCAAAGGACTGGAGGGCAGCTTAAGAGACCAGGACTTCAGACGGCTGGTGTCTGGCAGCTGAGCCAAGGAGAAGACACTGCTCTGCCCAGGCTCATGAGCTCACTCTTGTTAGAGTTTCCTGTCTTGGCTACTTCTTAGCCTGTAAATTCTGAACTTCTCTTGGAGTCAACCGATAGCCTCTGCCTCCCACAGTGTGGAAGAGAGCGCTAGTTCGGGGCTGCAGACACGGCTCAGTGGTTAAGAACATGTATTCTTCACACAGAGGACCTGAGTTCAATTCCCAGCACCCCCATCAGGCAGCTTACAACTGCTTGTAACTCCATTCCAGGGGATGCCTCTAACCTCAGTTACATGCACATACACAGACTTAACACATGTCCATGAAAATAATCAATAAAGAGAGATCAAGAGCACTAGTTTGAGAGGCTGTACAATAGTTTGGGTCAATGACCTGAGTATCAGAGGTTTAGTCGCCAGCACGGAACGAGGGGGAGGTAGTGGAACCCCTAAGGGGCCTCGTGGGAGCTCTTCAGGTTGTTGCGAGCATGGTCTGGAAGGGGATGGGGAGACCCTGTCCCCTACTTGTTCTCTTGCTACCTGGCCATAGGGTGAGCAGTTCTGTGTGGCATCCCCCTGCCCCATGCCCCTGCCAAGGAGGCGCTGCTCTGCCACAGGCCTAAAAGCAGCAAGGCCACCAAGACTGTGGCTTGTATCCTCTGGAGCTGAGTCAAAGGAGACCTTCCTCTCTCTAAGTTTAGTTTTGAAGGCATTCATATGGTGATAGAAAGCTGACCCACATGGGTAGCCATAACAATGTACCAGAGACAGAAGGGGATAAATAACAGAAATGCACTGGCTTATAGTCCAGAGGCTAAGAGCCCAAGACCAAGGTGTCGGGTGGGTTGGGTCCTTTGGAGGGCTGTGAGGGTGGGTTGGACCCAGGCCCCTGCCTACCTCCTGGTAGTCTTCTGGCAATCGTGGTATTCTTTGGTTGCAGATCCACTGCCCCGATCTCTACCATCATCTCCATGTGCTGCATTCCCGCTGTGCATCCCTCCCCAACTCTCCTCTTCCTGCAAAGTCCCCCATCGTGTCGGAGTCTAGCCTGCTCCAGGACGGCCTCATCTTCATTCACTGCTTCTGTCTCAACAACCCCATTTCCAAATGGATCCCCGTCCTGAGGCACTGGGGTTAGTTACCGTTTGAAGGGAGGGTAGCAATTCACCCGTGCCACAAAGTGAAGGAAGCCAGGACTCAAAGTAGCTGACACACGGTGGGTGCGGTGTCAGCACGCGGGGCAGCCAGCGCCCGTGACAGTCATGGTCTCCCCAGTTTGGGGCTTGGCCCCTGATGCTCCTCTTAGCTCCTGCAGCCCTCACCAGCTCGCAGTCTGCTAGTAGAATGCCAGAGCTACGGCGTGGCTTACAAGCCTGACGGTGATTGACAGCGGGGTTATTCTAAGCATGTTGTACCATTACTGTATTTTACCCACTTCTCTAAGCGTTACTGTATTTTACTCTCTTCTTTAATCAGTTTTCTGACTTCTCCAAGCAGCACTATGAAGTAGGCAGTATGGTCTCTCTGTTTTGCGAACAGCACTGAGGGGGGAAAGAGCTGGGAGGAAATTGTGTGAGGCCGCCCAGGTGACAGGTGGAACTCCAGGGAGATGGGCACTGGGTTGTTATGTCCTCCAACAACAGCCACACAGGAGTCCGTTCCCCGTGTCCTCCCAATATCTGCCCGATGACTTGGTTGGTGGTGTATTCTTGTATTAAGAACTGGGAACAGGGGCCTGGAGGGATGGCTCAGTGGTTAGGAGCACTGGCTGCTTTGCCAGCGGACTTGGGTTCAGTTCTCAGCACCCACATCTCTGCTCACAGCTGTCTGTAACTCCCAGTCCAGCGTGCCTGACATCTTTGTGCAGGCCAAACGCCAATGCACATAAAAACAAAAAACAAAAAACAAACAAACAAAAAAACTGGAAACAGGTTTGATTATCAAGATTCCACAAATCAGATCCACGCCATCAGCTCCACATGGGAGCTGGGTCCAGTGAGAAGGGGGCGACTGGGCATTTCCTTGTGGGAAGAATAGAGCCTAGCGACTCGTGGTCACAACTGTCCCTTCTCTCTGGTCACCTTTCATACTCCCATGATTGAGGGGACCAGGCCTTGCTGTCTCCTTCACCAAAATGGCGGGGGGGAAGGACTCCTTTCAGCATTTCGACTTCTGGCAGGGGCGGACATAGAGTTTAGACTTGGTCAAGTCAAGCCAGACCCCACATCAGGCACCAGCTGAGGAATAACAACAAATGGACAAAGCGTTATGACTAGCTGAGTGTGTGGCCCACACAGGCTTTAGAGTCGGAGACCAGCCTGGGCTACGTCGGGGGTCTATCTAAAGGGACAAGAAGAAGGGAAAACAAAGCCTCTTACTTTTCCCCCATTCCCTCCACAGATCTGGGATCTGGAGACCCATGGCTGCTGCTTTACAGCCTCTTCCAAAGCCAGTGGCCTCAAGGGCGAACTGGCAGCCTGCCTCTACCTCGCTGGACCTAGAGCCCTGTGTGTGGCCACAGATGCCCTGGCTTTTCTTCACCTGAAAGTAGGGTACGGGCCATCTGTCTGAGTTTTGTGTGCAGAATGTTCTAGAGGGTGCTAGAGAATTCCAGTCAATGTTCTACTCAGGGCTCTACCCTTCATGTCCCACGCTCTGAAAACTGAAGCCCTGGGTCTTCAGCTTATATTTGATGAGGACCTTTTAACATTCCCACTAGCAACACAGGAGTAACCTGAGCTGTCCAGAATTTTGTATTTTTTAACAAACAAACCAAGGGGCTGGAGAGATGGTTCAAGGGTTCAGAGCACCGGCTGCTCTTGCAGAGGACCCAGGTTAAGTTTCCAGCACCCACATGGTGACTGACAGCCATCTGTAACTCCAGTTCCACGGGATCCTCTTCTGACGTCTGCAAACATGAGGCACCTGTGTGGTGTACATGCATACATGCATGCAGCCAAAACACGCATACACATTTAATTAATCAGTAGTTAATTAATTTAAAACAAAGCCTCAGACAAGAGGAAATGAACTTCCTGATACCCGTTCCCACAGCCTGCAAGGAAGCGTCCTCCATGCCCTAAGAGGCCCAGAGGCTATGGAACAGGCCACGCCCTTCTGTGGGAAAGGAGTTGCCCCCTGCCCTGTCAGCATGAGTGGTGGGGTGCCACCACGAGTGGTGGGGTGCTTGGCATATGCTTTGAGAGCTGCAAGGCTCTCGGTAACCCCAAAGCATGGACCTCATGACAGCCAGCCTAGTTCAAGTGTGGCCCGCTCTTCTTCTATTTGTTAATTTTATGTGGATGCTGGGGATCAAACCCAGGTCCTCTGGAAGGACAGCCAGTGCTTTGAAACTCAGAGCCATCTCTCCAGCCCCACAGGGGCCACTTAATCCCCAGTTACTCCTCCTGGCTTCACAGCATGCATCCCTCCTCCCCACCACAGTTCTGTTTTGTTTTGACCAGCGTTCAGCAGTTCTGAGACTCCAAAGCCAGAATACTCGGCCCCAGACAAGGATGCAGAAAATCTGTACAGTGACTGCCATAGCCTGTGTGTTTCGGAAACTGTCTCACAATGGTGACTGGCTTCCTGTGCCCCCAATCAAGACCTTTACCCTCCCCATATTTCCTCTTGATTTGTGAACATAGGCAGGGAGTTGGGGGAGTTGGGAGTTGGGGCTCTTAATCCATTTGTTGTACTCAAAGATCAAACGGCCCAGTGGCCAAGAGCATGCTTTGCTCTTACAAAGGACTCAAGCTCAGTTTCTAGTACCCACATCCAGTGGTTCGCAACTGCTTGTCACTCTAGTCCTAGAGGACTTGATACCTCTGGCCCCTACAGGCATCTGTACTCATGTGCATGAGCCCACACACAGATACGCACGTACACATAATTAAACCTTTTTTTTTTTTAATTAACTTCATGGAAAAGCAAGCACATTTCAGGGCACCGCATGCGGCCTTGGCCTTGGTCACCCGCTCCCTTCCTGACCTCGGTGAAGCCATGCGGCCTGCGAGGATGGCTCAGAAAACTCAAACAGAGCCCCTGCTAAATGATGGGCCCAGCCAAAACAGCCCGCTCAAAGGGGAAGCCTCTGCCAGTCAAAGTGCTGTTCGTTCTGCATGGCAGAATCGTGCAGAACAAACAGCCCACTTGGCTGATTTCTTTTGCAATGCAATGATGGGACTGTGCTTCATGGCCAACACAATGTCAGTCTCTGGTGCCAACACTGAACTGCCAGATCCTGTCCCCCGTCCCAGCCCACCCCATCCCCGATGTCACTCAGGAGCTGTGCAACCCAGAGTTACCTAACCCTCATTTGCATATGCTCCCCCTAACATCCGTTTTCCCATCCCTCCACCCTACCACCCCCCCCCCCCCCCCCCCCCCCCCCCCCCCCCCCCCCCCCCCCCCACCCCCCGCACCTGGGAAAGGGTTCGGACCCGCCACCAGACCCAGAGTTTTCCTGCCTTTCCCTTTGTACCTCCCTTCTGGAGACTTCCTGCCTCCTTCTGCCTGGACCAGTCTCCCCCACCTCCCACCCCCTCCCACACACCTCCTAAAGCCCCAGGACAGGCTGCTCTTTCTTGGAGAGGAGTCTGAGCATCACGCCTGGGTGAGGCTTCAGATCAGTGGGAGGCTCTGCCTTTCTCCTGCGGCCCACGGGAGGCTTCCCCGCAGAAGAGCCATGAAGAGGGGCGGACGCGGCAGGGAGACCGCACATGGGATTAGCGTTCGGTGTCACATCCACTGCATGCCAACATGTATATCCATTTCCTCATAATTATTCCTCACACTTCCATAAGAGATTGTGTTTTGCAGATGAGGAAATCCGGCCACAGGGGCATGAGCTGCTGTGCAGTGCTGGCCTCCCGGAGGCAGCGTATGGAACCAGGCTCTGTTTGCTCTGCTGTGCCCTTCACACCTGGGTACCCACGGAGTCAGCACAGGGCCGGCTGGGACCTGCTTGGCCTCGTCCCTGTGGCAATTGAGAAGTGTCACTTTCCGGGCACAAGGGTTCATAGTGTGCTAATTTGTTTGTTTGGGAGAAAAATCTAAATTCTCAGCACTCTAGATGATTCTGAGTCATCAAATCCCATCCCTGCATAGCCCCTTGTGTTGGCACACACCTATGGTCCTGTTATTGCTCAGGAGACAGTCAGAGGGAGCTTGAGTTTGAGGACAGCCTACGCTACAGGAGAACCAGTCTCGATCGATCAATCAATCAATCAGTCAACCAGTCGGAAGTGCATGCTCTCCGTTTTCTTCTTTCGCAGTCATTATAACTCATCATGTGTCAGTCACAGGTGTTCTGACCGTGCCCTATCATACATACGTGTGCCGCTCTAAGAAGATGCCCGTATCTCTTCCTGTGTCCTAGTCAGGGTTATTATTGCTGTGATGAAACACCATGACCAGAGCAATCTGGGGAGGGAAGGGTTTATCTGGCTTATGCTTCCACCTCACTGTTTATTGCTGAAGGAAGTCAGGACAGGAACTCACGCAGGGCAGGAACCTGTAGGCAGGAGCTGATGCAGAGGCCATGGAAGGGTGCTGCTTACTGGCTTGTTTCTCGTGACCTGCTCCGCCTGCTTTCTGATAGAACCCAGGACCACTTGCCCAGGGACGGCACCACACACAATGGGCGGGGCCCTCCCCCATCGATCATTAATGAAGAAAATGCCCTACAGGCTTGCCTCCAGCCGGATCTTATGGAGGCATTTTCTCAGTTGAGGCTCCTTCCTCTGTGATGACTCTAGCCTGTGTCTCGCTGACATAAAAACCAGCCAGCACACCCTGTTCCCTGCTTTAGAGCAGGTGTCACTACCCCTATACTGCAGGCTAGAGAGTGAGGTTTTGAGCAGTTAGGCAGTTTCCCCAGGTTTCTAGACCCAACATTTGAGCCCCAAGCCTCTCCTGCTGGCCACTGTGTAACGAAGCAACAGTCCCCTCCAGGTGTCCCTGGCCTGTCATCGCCTCAGCTGTCCGTTGTCTCTGTTTTTCATGAACAAGATCTGACCCAGAACCCCACCTAGTGCGTTCCCACCAAGAGCCCGTGGTCTGCTGCAGGTACAACCCAGCCTTCAGGCATGTGGTCAGCTGCTGCGAAGCATCCGTAAGTACCCATTCCTGATATCTTAGCAGCGACATGTTTGTGAGGTAGCCTGCCCCCCCTCCCACCCCCCATCTTCCCATTAAAGCTGAGCTGTGTGTTCTGCTGACATTCTGTTCCTGGGAGTCAACAGAGGGATGAACGTTCAGTTCTGCTCTGTTAATGATCCTGTATTGTTTGGACAGTCTTTGCTTAGAATCAAGTGGAAGAGCCTCCTGTCTCCCCAGTGGCTCCCAGCACGAGTTGTTAGGAAGGAACATCCATCCTGAGAGTACCATATCCTTGTGATTATCTTGTATGTTGTAAAGCAAATACTTCTCAAGAATTGGTTGAAACTCTAATCCACTGTCTGCTCAGAGGACTTTGAGAGCGGGCTCTAAGCCTACCTCAGATGAACCCCTCCTGCAGTGGGGACTGACTTCAGCCTTTGAGAGAGAGGACATTGGACTCCCGGGAGGAGGGCTCTCATTCAAAGCCTGCTCGAGGGATGGGCCTGAGGGAGACTAACTGCAAGAACAACCATGTGTGCTGACGTTCTTAAGACTGGAAGTTTAGAAGGGGCAGGAAACGAACGCCACTGTCATGGTTTCTTTTCCAGTGGCTTAAATAAAACACCCTGACAGATGCAACGTCAGGGACAGGGGGTTTATTTTAAGTTAACATTCCAAGTTACAGCCCATTGCTGCCAGGAAGTCATTGCAGCAGAAGCTGCAGACAGCTGGTCACACTGCATCCACAGTCCGGAAGTGTGAACTCAGATCACACTGCACCCACAGTCCGGAAGTGTGAACTCAGATCACACTGCATCCACAGTCCGGAAGTGTGAGCTCAGATCACACTGCATCATCCACAGTCCGGAAGTGTGAGCTCAGATCACACTGCATCCACAGTCTAGAAGTGTGAGCTCAGATCACACTGCATTCACAGCCCAGAAGTGTGAGCTCAGATCACACTGCATCATCCACAGTCCGGAAGTGTGAACTCAGATCACACTGCATCATCCATAGTCCGGAAGTGTGAACTCAGATCACACTGCATCCACAGTCCAGAAGTGTGAGCTCAGATCACACTGCATCCACAGTCTGGAAGTGTGAACTCAGATCACACTGCATCCCCAGTCCGGAAGTGTGAACTCAGATCACACTGCACCCACAGCCTGGAAGTGTGAGCTCAGATCACACTGCATCATCCACAGTCCGGAAGTGTGAACTCAGATCACACTGCACCCACAGCCTGGAAGTGTGAGCTCAGATCACACTGCATCATCCACAGTCCAGAAGTGTGAACTCAGATCACACTGCATCCACAGTCCGGAAGTGTGAGCTCAGATCACACTGCATCCACAGTCCGGAAGTGTGAACTCAGATCACA